TTTTTTTTTTTTTTTTTTTAGGTCCTCCCGTCTCATGGATGTGTCATTACGTAGCTTCTCCCTTTGTTGTGACCTGTTAAGTCGGGTTTGCCAGACAGCAGTGACTCACTGCAAGGATGCTTTAGAAAACCATCTTCATGTTATTGTTGGCACACTTACACCCCTTGTAAACGATCAGGTGGAGGTTCAAGAGCAGGTAATTTCTCAGTTCATGCTCAAAATACTATTTGGGATAAACTGTTAGGAGCTAAATATTTTTTTGCTTGTTATAATTAATAATTTTTTTCTATTGGTACCAGGAATTAAACACACAAACACAGGGCCTTGTGCTTGCCAGGCAGGCGCTGTACCATTGAGGTATATCCTTGGCCCTATAATTAATAATTTTAATGAAGATGTTTTTTGAAGAATGGTTGGGAAGACATTCTAAATGAAATAACCTTTGTAATCAGTTAATTACAGAACCCAGCAATTTTGATCTAATCTGATAATTATGTCTGTTAGGCTGAAGTGTGTAAGTAGACAAAGATAAGGGTAGCAGTTCATAATAGTATGATGTTATGTGAGCTGTTATTTATATAAAATGTTTCATTAATATTTGGATTTCTATTGCTTGGAACCTATCTTGACTAGTACCTTACATGTTTGTTGAATCACTTAAAAGCACAGAGAATAAAAGCTGAGTACCTTAAAAGTAATCAAAATATTTGAGCTACAATAGCAATTTTTATTATTTATTATATTAGGTTTTGGTGTCTTTGAAATATAATGAAGGATTTTTTCTCTTTTCTTTTTAAATTATATTTAGGTATTGGACTTACTGAAATACTTAGTGATAGATAACAAGGATAATGAAAACCTCTATCTCACAATTAAGCTTTTAGATCCTTTTCCTGACCATGTTGTTTTTAAGGATTTGCGTATTACTCAGCAGAAAATCAAATACAGTAAAGGATCCTTTTCACTCTTGGAGGTAATAAAAGTTCCCATCTTAGTATTTTGTATTACAGAGCATAGACATTAGTACTTTTTAAAAAATCTTTTATGCTCTAGTGGTAAAAATGGAAGCATTTTATTTTTTATTGTTGCTCAAAAAACTACATGAGTTCTACAGTCTTGACAAATAAAAAATGAATCTTAATGCATCTCCTGACACTGCATTTGAAGTACAGATATCAAAAGATCCATTAATATCTTTAAAATGACTAGTCCTTTGAAGTTAAATTTAATGTTTGCATAGAGGTTATATTTAACTTTTTAAAGTGTACTTCAAGGTTTAATTCTGTTTTAATCTTCAAACACTTCAAAATTATGTTCAGGTATTTTTTTCTTTATAAATCTTATAATTTAAAAATCAGTATATATTTGACTGTATATATTAATGTGAAACATACCTAATTAAGATGTAAAATTAGAGTTGTATTCTTAAATAAATAAAAAATTAAGCTTTTATTCCTGTTGTGTGTACTTACTAATCTGGAAATTTAACTGTTATCATGAGAAAATATGTTAGAATTTTTAAAAATTAATTTTATTGGTACGTTTAAGGTATACAGTATAATGACATCCATCATTGGAAATTTGCACCTTTACATAATCCATCTTGGTTCTTTTATTATTAGAATTTAAAAGATTAAAACATTATAGGAAGAAAAATTATTTCTGCTTGGGTTATGAATCAGCATCTGTAAAAGGAATTAGTTTTTTTTCTTTTCTGAAGGTTTATTCTACAGACTTGTCCAATACCTATTAAAAAGCAGTTACATTTTAACTAATTTTTTTTCTTTTAGGAAATTAACCATTTTCTCTCAGTTAGTTTGTATGATGCACTTCCATTGACAAGGCTTGAAGGATTGAAGGATCTTCGAAGACAACTGGAACAACATAAAGATCAGATGATGAGTCTTATGAGAGCATCTCAGGGTACTAATTTTAATAACATTAATTCTTTCTGTTCTTGTTTCAAATAATCTAATCTTTATAAATTCTTCTTCTTGGTTTGACTCTGATACCCATACTTTAGAATCCTCATTATTTCCCATCTAACCGTAACTATGCCTTACTTTAAATAACTCCATTTTATCCCTCCTCTGCCAGAATGATTTCTCTAAACCAAAATAGGATCATCTTATCCTACCAGATTTCATACTGCCTGAAAAATAAAAGTTTCAGGCCAGACATGTAGCACATGCCTATAATTGCAGCACTCAGGAGGCTGAGGCAGGAGGATCACTGTGAGTTCAAGGACAGCCTGGGCTACATACAAGAACCTTGCTCAAAAGGGAAATGAAAGATAATTATCCTTTAAAGCTACATGTATAATATATATCTCTACCTTGTATATCACCTTACCTGAATATTTTATTTGTATGTTATGTTTTTGTGTGTGTTTGTACATGTTTTGACCTTTACTTAAGAAAACATCTATTTTTATATTAATTTATTTGAGTTTATATTATTACAGTATTACAGTAAGCAAATTTTTTGTATTCTGATTTTCATCTTCCTTTGCCAACTTCATATTTCTATTGTATCATTTTTGTACTTAGTATTTTTTAAAACTAATTTTGGTTTTGACTGAGCTCAGAATTGCTAATGTAGTTTGAGACATATAAAGTACAGATATCACTGTCTCATTTTGCTCTTTCTTTGTTTTGGTATTTAAAGGCTAGAATTGCCTTATGTAGTGCAGCCATTAACTATTTTTGGCTATTTCAATTCAAATGGATTAAAATTAGAAAAATTTAAAATTCATTATTTTTATTATATTAACCCATGCCAGATTCTCACTAATCCATGTAGCTAGTGACTCACTGGACAGTACAGATTAGAGACATTTACATCATTGCAGAGAAGTCTTTGCTCGTCTAGTTTCTGAATGCTAGATGTTAACAAGCTCCCAAGGACCCTTGTAGCTTAGTGTTGAATGATTCTTATTTTTGTAATTGTTTGTGGGTTTGCTAAGGTATTGATTTATCTATACAATTGAAGACATTTTTCTTTCTGTGTCATTGCGCTTCTACTTGTATGTGGTTCTGTCTTATAAGAAAGTTGAAATTCATATCTATATGAGAGCAAGTGCTTCTAATAAATTCTTAAAACTTTGTAAAACTTTATAAAAATTTATATGTATAATTTTATATCAAGATAATTTAAACTAATTTTTTTCAAAATTATTCCTAGATAATCCACAAGATGGCATTATGGTAAAGCTAGTTGTCAGCTTGTTGCAGTTATCAAAGATGGCAGTAAACCACATGGGTGAAAAAGAAGTTTTAGGTAAACTTTGTGGTTGAGTGAATGTGAGTTTTTCATGTTTAAATGCTGATCTTTATAATATTCTCAAAATAAATATTTATCATTTTGGATGTTGGGGAAATATGAAATGCTAAGTTTTATTTCTGTTTAATTCAAGTATCCCTAAGCATTCATGGTTTTCTTCCTTAAATATTTATATAAAATGAAAAGATAGCAATTTACACCTTTGAATAATTATTGATTTGAAATGCCTTATAGTTATTTGGATAGTCAAAAATACCTATTTGTAGAGTTAAGTTGTAAATAAAGAGACTTCTGAAATAATTTACAAATATATTATAATTGGCTAGTATTCCATATCTTTTTTATATAACAAAAATGAAGACTTTGTTGGTTAGGTTAAGCTCAAATATTAAAAAGCATTTAAGTTCTTTCCTTCTGCCATTTGGGAGAAAATCTAACATAAGATAAATAGCTGTCTTAGTTTCTTTTTTTGTTGCTGGGACAAAATACTCGACGCTCAAAGTTAAAGGAGGAAAGATTTATTTAGCTCACAGTTTATAGGGGTTTCAGTCCATAGTCAGCTGGCTCCAAGGCAGGGTAGCATGGCAGTGGGGCATCCAAGAGGAGAAATAGTTCATGGTGGCAGGCAGAAGGTAGCCTTTATTTCCCATCAAGTCTATAAACCTATTGATTGGCACCACCTATATCTAGGATGGGGGTTCCAGTATACTCACTGTTAATCTCAGTGTCACACTCTTAATCCACTTTCACACACCCTGATATACTGCCTTTGAAACTCTCTACCTATGACCGCTTGAGGCTTTGGGGGGACATCTAGATACAAGATACACAATAGCCACTATTATGTCCAGAGTAGGCATTTAGATTAGTGATCATTAGATAGAAAAATCACAGGATTGGGCCAGGGATTTGTGTCAGTGGTTCTGCTGCCTGCTTTGCAAGTGCAAGGGCCTGAGTTCAATCCCTGGTACCAAAAAAGAAAAGAAAAATCACTGGATTAAAGTTAGCATGAAGCTGTCCTGTGTTGCTTCAGTAAATATACAGGAAGAGTGGTTCTTATGGGCTCCTTTGTCTTTCTGCAATATCTTTCTTTAGTTTTTTAGTGGTAGCCAGATATTTAGATACATCCATATCTGATAGATTTTCTTTTTGTTGAAATATCTCTTGCATATAGACTAAAGTATGTGTACATTATTTATATGCAAAGGAAGTTATACAGTATTTTGTAGCCTCTTTAGTTTACTCATAGTCTTTGAAAACACACTTAAATCTTGAAGTATGGCAAATTAATATAGTTTTGAAATTAGAAATTTTCTGCTATATATGCTATCTTGGCTATGACCCTACTGAAATGGAATTTCTTTATGTAGAAGCTGTTGCGAGCTGCTTGGGAGAAGTGGGTCCTATAGATTTCTCTACCATAGCTATTCAACATAATAAAGATACATCTTATACCAAAGCCTTAGAGTTATTTGGAGATAAAGAACTTCAGTGGACCTTAATAATGCTGACATACCTGAATAACACATTGGTAGAAGATGGGTGAGTATTTGTGGTATCTTATGTCTTGATGATGCTTACTCAATCTGACATTTAAGGAGAATGATAGTTCACAGAAATTAACATTTCCAAAACTAAAACTTTGTCCTTTAATTTTTTTTTTTTTTTAGTACCAGAGATTGAACGCAAGACCTTGCAGTTGCCAGGCAGGCACAGTGCCACTGAGCTACATCCCCAGCCCATTTTAGTTCTTACACTTAAAAAAAGTCTCATTTATTTTTATGAAATTGCTTACATTTTTATTAATTCATTGACATAGGTATATACCAGGTACTTGATATAGTGAAGAAGTTTACAGACAATGTTTTTATCAAATTCTAGTGAGAGTAGCTCAGACAAACAAAAAATGGAAAAAAAAATACCAGTTGTTTCTATGCAGACAGTTAAAATGGAGAATGTAAAGAGTGGTATTGCAACCATCCACCAAAATTAGAGATACCACACTTTTCCAACTAAGCTGTATTGTGGTCCATTTAAAATAAACCATGAAGTAAAAGTTTCATATCCTCAAACGTCTAAAACTAATCAGACAGAATCTTCTCATTTTTTCCCTGTACAATACAGAATTGCAAGATATTACCAATATTTCAGCTTGCTGGTTGTGAGATTACTTTTACATGTCTCTTTCAGTTTCTGTTACTCTGTCTCTGACTCTTTCCTCACATTGTGTATTTATTGATGGATATATTTGAGTATTCCATCACTACCATTTTGGAGGGTAAGTTCAAAGGATTTTTCCCTCAAGTAGGCCTCTTTCTGGTGTAAATAGCATTTTGACTGATTTTCTACCTCTCTCCTCCCCTACCTGCTGTATTTCCATTATTGATTTAATCTATCTTTTGTTGCTGTTTTTTTTTTTTACATAAAACAGTCTGACATTGTTTTTTTCCCAACATTTTATTTAGAATTTTACAGTAAATACAGTGTTCTTACCATATAGAGTCTATACTGCATTTTACTACTATCCTTGCTTTATCACTTCTACTCATCCTTCTATATCTTCATTAATGCATATAGTTTTAAAATGTGGGGCCAGGAATTTAGCTCAGTGGTTCTACCACCTGCCTTGTAATCACAAGGGCCTGAGTTCGAGCCCTGGTACCAAAAAAATAAAATAAAATAAAAAATAAAAGTATGTCTGACAATTTGAAGAGAGATTTTCCACAGAAATTCCATAGGAGCAAATCTGTTTATTAAATAGTAATCTGAAATTATTTTTTTCTAAAATTGTTAATATGACTAAAATTAAGAATAATAAAAAGCATGTGCAAATCTTTTCTGTCTTTCTGTAGGAGGGAAAAAAAATCATTAGTTGTTTAAGGGGCTTCATTATCAAAAGGAGAGGATGACCAAGGAGATCCCAGAATAGCTGGTCAGGGAAGGCTTCTGATCTTAGTAGTCAGGAGTCAACTTTAAGACAATTAAGGGTAAAGCATTACAGATAGGGAAGACTTGAGTTGGAGGTATGTTTGGTGTTTTTGAAGAACAGAATGAAATCTGGTGTGTAGGAAGATTATAGGAGAAAGGTAGGACTAATACTGATTAAGAAATTTGAATTTTATTTGAAGAATGTAAGTATGCCAGTGGACTGTTTGGAGAAGAGTGCCAATATGATGCAGCTTATGAGTTTTTATGTGGCCAGTGGACTGCAAAGGGGAAAAAGTGGAAACAAGTGTCTCAGTTATGAAATTGTTGGAGTAGTTAGAAGAGAAATGACTGTGATTGGAGTACGGTGTCAGTAATGGAGATGATAGCCATAAATGGAGTCAGGATATACTTTTAACAAGAACCTGTGGGATTTGCCAATAAATTGAATATGGAGTAATGAAGGATGAATCTAGATTTAGGGTTTATGCTTCAGTGTTTTAAACCAAGAAACCTAAAAGGAATTAAGCCTTTATTGCTAATTCATTATTATATTATTAAGCTTTATGACATTTTTGTAAGGTTTTATATTTAGTAATGTATTGCAAACTTTCTTGCCCAAGTTTTTTTGTATTAAGGAAGAACCTTTTTTATTAGAGGCTTTCAGAGCTTTAATGATTCTCAGCTAGATTTTTTTTTTTTTTTGGTCAGAATAAGTAGGTACCAATTCTTTTAAAAACTGTATTTTACAATAATTTTATCATTGCCATTTTTTCAAATGCCATTCTCTTACCTAAATTATTTATTTGTATTCTCAGAGAAAAAATTGACACAGTATTGTTTTCTCATGTGAATTAGTACAATATTTTCTCATTCTCATTGCTTATATTTATTAGGCTGTATTATTTCCCAGTATTTCCTTTATTCATTTAATTTATGGCCATCATAAGGTAAACATTACCATACTGAAGGAAGAGAATTGCTGTTTCAGTGATTAATCACTTAAATTTTCTGAAGAAATACTAAAAATCCTTTGATATTTTTTACTTTGATGATATATAAAATTTAAATTTTAGTTCTTAAAATTTTTCAGTCAAGATTGCTTAACATTCAAGATTAATAAGTGAATTTTGTATTTCTCAGTGTCAAAGTTCGATCAGCTGCTGTTACCTGTTTGAAAAATATTTTAGCCACAAAGACTGGACATAATTTCTGGGAGGTTTATAAGATGACAACTGATCCCATGCTGACCTATCTACAGCCTTTTAGAACATCAAGAAAAAAGGTCTCTTAAGTAATAAATATGTTTTGAACATTTACTACATTTGTTTGTTTTGGATTATATAAAATTGTTTAAAATAGTAATTTACTAACATTTAGCCTTTGCTAGAAATAATTTCAGCTGTACTTCTAAAGAGGATTTTTAATAGTGTATGGCAATATGGAAAAACTGAGATGAACTAGAGAAGTGATTGTTGATTTGGGGATAGGAAAAATTCTTAATGATATGCCTTTGCGTATTATAAATTTAAAAAACCCTTGATCCCATAAAAGCCATGGATCCTGGGTGTGATTTATAGTTCCTGTGATCAACAAGAAGCATTTATTTCCATAGCAAGTTAATTATTAAAACTTCTATGAAGCCGGGCATGATGGCGCAAACCTGTAATCCCAGCACTCGGAGGCCGAGGCAGGAGGATCACTGGAGTTCGAGACCAGCCTGGGCTACATAGAGAGTTCCAGGTCAGTCTCAACTACACAGTGAGACTCTGTCTCAAAAAAACAAACAAACAAACAAAAAAATTCTATGAAATATAAGATGTACTATAGGATTCTCTCTTTTTCCATGTTGATATCATGAAAGGATACTGTGAAGGAGGTTGAAGAACTCTTTCACTTCCCCTTAATCTAAACATTCCTCTTTTCTTTTCATAAAGTGAGAAACACAGTTAAGTTTCCACTAGTTTAATTTCAGGTCATATACCTGTCATTGAAATAGTATCTTATCTTTTCTGTACTATAAATATAGTTTGGCCTTAAAATTAGTAGTAATATTTACTGTTAATGAAATTTGTAGTATAACTTGTAAAAGCACTATAATTTTAATATTTTTAAAGTATCAATTCTTTGTGGAAGGTTTGGACATGAGAAAGATGAGACAAAGTTACAGTGTGTTTAATATGTGTACATACTACTAGGAGTGACAGTACCTGAATCTGTTTCCTGCTGCCATGACCAGTCTTTTTTTTCCCATCCCACTCTTCATCTTATATCAAAATGTTTTGATTTAAAGGTTAATGATTGGTAAAGGTACAAGATCCCAGTAATGAATGTAGCTGTACTGTCTACCTAGAATGTACCAATAAATTAAATTTAAAAAAAATAAAGGTTAATGACTGCCTCCAGAGTTTAAGTATATGTGTGTGTGTGTGTGTGTATGTATGTATGTATGTATGTATGTATAT